TTGGTTTTTCCTACACAGTTGTAAACTCAAATAGGATATAAACGGATAATTAAATTACGCTATAAATGCTTTATAACTCTGGTAACCACCATCATGGCCTCAATGAAGCTGGAAACTCATGCCGTGACCATCAAAGCAATGACGTTGAGAAAGGTGTAATTAAGTTTATAAAGGAGTAATACTTCTGATTTATTCCCTAGATTAGAAGAATTTTTTCACTCTTAAACTTGCTTTGCCCTTTGACCTTTACCATTTACAACTAATCCTGCGATAGATTGTTTTTCTTATCACTAGCTGTTCTCACATTGATATGTTCTTATGACTAACTTCTCTAGCCATGATGATTGCCAAAGACTAATTCTTCTACTGCAAGCTGCGCATACGCTCGGTCCGCCTTGATATTAGTTCAAGCCGACAAAACTTTTCGCTGAAGTCCAACATAAATAAGAAAGATAAGCTTAGAAGAGACCTTTTTTGCATGTAATTACTGTTCGAAGAAGCCGACAAAGACGAATTCTTCACCTTCCAGTGGTGCCAGTGTTATCGCTCAGTATGCTCTGCATATCTGGGATAGCCAGGAAGAATCGCATCCGAATCGAAGTCGAAAGCAAACACATGTATATCTCCACTTGACGACTTCCCAGTCATGCAGCACTCACCATTATCTTCTGAGTCCTCGGTTTCTTTCCAACCACATATCATCTCGCCTCAACGACCGATAAAGGCGTCACCCCAATTGTAGATAGGAGCTTTTCTCATTGATCACCGGCCATCACTCACTTCAGATTTACAACGCTACGTATACCCTCAAGGAGGAAATATAGTCATAATATTCAAAGTTGGGGTCTTGGTTTATGGGGGACTGATGCTCTATTGGGGTTATACACCTTGAGGAAGGACAGACGGCTGAGATGTGGAGCGAGAGGGGGGACAGGTCTCTGACCACCATGCTGAGACTGACGTTTCCGAGGGTTTTTCAACTTTGGACCGTTTGTAAGAACCAAGATCGAGATTTTGGCTAATTAGCCAAGGGACTTCAATTGTCGATGAGTGAACTGCACTCCCCAGCGCCCTGGAAGGTACAAAAGAAGTTGGGCTAAGCTACCATACAGCAACCACGCTCTGTTACGACTTTTCTGAAATTTCAGCACGACCTTCGGGAAGGAGTTGGAAAGAGGCTAGAAAGGCAAAGAGTGAATTCCCCGAGGTACTTACAAGTCCGCAGCTCCCATCTTGCCGGCTTCTTTATACGCTTCAGAAGTGTCACTTTGTCTTCGGATCTAGTCCTAATGTCGTTATTAGGAGAGCCCCGCACCCAGTGGTTTCCGCGATTTTTCCCGGCTGCCATACACCCGCAAATAGCCATCGTTTTGTTGGCTGGAGAGGGGAGAGAATGAGGGGCAAAGGGCTGCTCTAATTTTATAAACGAATGAATACATTTGAGGGGAGCTGTATGGGAGGCATAGGAGGGGTTATACCACTGGCGTAGGTATCCTTGGCCTGTAGGTAGAGAGGACATGCATGTCCTACATAGTCATAGACTCAAAAAGGACAATAAAATGAATAAATAATATTGGTCGACGAATTGTTTTTTCTTTTAATTTTAGTTTTTTTGAGGTTTCTTCTTCAAATTGTGCGATTTTAAGGGGGAAATCTCAAATTCTTTTAAAATTTGTGAAGATTTGTCACTAAATCGTTAGATATTTCACACATTTCCGTAGTTTGATTTCGGACAGTCGTTTGATTATTTATTGAAGTGCTGCGTAAATGACAGCCAAGGCACTCGTGGTAAAGCTTGGGCAGGATTAGGCCCAGTTCGGCCCAGGTTAATATTATGATTGGTATATGATTGGTATATGATTGGTATATGATTGGTATATGATTTGGGAATGTACACTTGCGCTGATACAGCTAAGATAGTATGTGGAGAGATGTCTTCATTAATGTGCAGAAGTGAAGTGACTATGATAATTTCTATGTTACAGATTGGGGGAAGCTCGTCCCTTATCCCCTAGCTTGTTCCCTTGTAGATCGATCACGTTACCAGTATGCAGCTCGCCAAAGTGTGCAACCAACTGAGCAGCCGTGTTATTTGTCCTATATCAACAACCCAGCTCTCGTACTGCACACATTACTACATGTAATGTCGTTATGTAGAGACTGGATCTCCTCCATGCGCCATGATGCCATGCTGCCATAATAACTACCTATCCACCAGCTACTAGATCTACCATACTACATAGCTGAGCATAACAGTTAACTACCAATGAACACATAAAGTTCGGACTTCAACCATGTTTTAAATCATGTCATACCCATCCCTCACGAGATCCCAGTATTGGCGGGCCGAAGCACAATTTTCTCTGCGAACTTAGTAACCACGCTCCCGATCCCTGGACATATTCTATGTCTTTAATTTTCCTCCTATTATCAGTTTCAGGTTTGCCTAATCCCAACATTTCCGTATCTTGACTTGTGTCATTTTCTTCATTAGCTACCTCATTAAGTCGCCCAAAGCGGTCTCCTTTGCTCTACTTCTCCCTTATTCCTACGATACAGTACCTCGTTTACTCATAGGCCAATTTCTCTTCATAAGAAACTTGAAGAATATCTAGTCGAAGGGTCTTGCCGTTTCCCTATCGCATCTATGCTCGTGGAGGCCGAGTATGCAAATAATAGTGAGGCGTCGACGCCTTGGCCTTTGTCGAATTCTCTGGTTGAAGCGCTGGTAAAATCTCATACCTATCCCGTCAGTCTCGATTCTTTGCAGCTCAAGATATCAGTGTCACTGAACGAATTTTCTATCTCATCTTCACCGAATGCTACAGTTAGAGATCTCTGTTGAAGGCGAGACGGATGAAGTTGAGAAAAATACTGCAGGAAAAAAACGATGAAAGGTATTTTTGTAATGAAACAGGAACCGGGTCTGAGCCTATTTGCAATTATGGTTTGGGTTGAGGATGTAGGACGTTGTTAATATGTAGAGTCGTGAAATCTTTAACAGTGGAATTTTGTGTTGAAATGTGATATATCTTGGAATGCCAAGAATAACTTATTAGTAAGTCCGGCTAATTTGACTATCAAATTCCCCATTCTATATCACTGTTATCAATACATCCTTCACCGAAAGTTTAATGCGTATTAGCGTTTATTTCACACTAGAATTCCAGCGGATGACTATGTCTTAAATGCAGGTTATAGTTTTCTCGTATCTATTATCGATACACATGTATTTAGCTTTATATTCCTGGCCCATATATGTGTATGTACATAGATCTACATCTACATGGATCATAACTTACGATCCATGGAGATTGATAAATACTGGTCAAAAACCACAGTTGATAAGATATGTGAACACGCAATCTCACTCTTATCATCTCGGTTTTACTCTGAACCATACATCTAAATACAATTGTTTCCACTCGGATCTTCCTCTCACAACCTCATACAAGACTTACTGCATCGGTCTAACCGCCGACACTGATTCCGCTACAACCTCCATCGTCGCTCAAGCTCATAACTTTAACATTTTGGACCAAAAATATGTCAACTCGATTCCTTCGGATCGTCATCTCGTCGAAGACTCCTATTCTAATCCCTAGTCGTGACTGTATCTCTAATTTCTAGGAGCATTTAATCCTGGGTCCATAGTAGCCACCACTTACAGATGCTAAGCGTCTGTCTTTAGTCCTCAGTTAGGTCGTGGGCTCCGGGCAGCATCCAGGATCATTTCACAATATCGGGTGTGATTGGTAATGTGGGCACGCAATTATAATTAAAACAAATAAGTAGCGTTTGTATTTGTAGATGACAACAATCATTTTCCACACCAATTATAATTACCCTCGCCTGCTTGTCAGGAGCGCGATGTATCCACGTGGCACAGGGGAGTGGTCGAGATGCAACGGTGACGCGTCACGTTCAGACTGGTAAAGTGTGCCTGCTACCTGCAAAATAGCGACCAATTAGCCCAACGGCTCATTCACGATAATTTCCAATGTCGGGTAATACAGCAGAAAGCCAACATCGCCACTGAAGCTCGCTGCCGAATCAAGAGCCCCGCAATCCCGTGGTAACTCAGCAGACATGCATGACGTATTTGGAACTTAAGATTCACCAGGCACTTGCACATCAGCTGGCGGGTCCGTTTATCCCTACTAATCAAACAGATTCATTCTGGACTGGATCTTGCTGCCATGGAAATGCTTCATCACGTGTGAAAATGCGGGCGAAGACTCCAATACCAGTCCGGCTTGGGCCATCCTGCCGTCGTCATTTGACGCCCGTAACTTAATTTCCTCATTAAGAACGTCTGCCATCTTCCTGCACAACTATCGTTTGATGTTTACTCAACCTTAATACACTTGGACTCGTCTGTCATGCAAGCTACTTCATCACGATTTCATATCTTCTGGTACAGGATAGAGATCTCAACTGCTATTGAGCCGGGATAACATAGAATCTAAAGCAATTACCTAAAACTTGGGTTAAGATCTAGCATGGACACTAAATTGCCTGGCTCTACACTTTAAACTGTGCTTCAGTGGTACATGGGTGACGCATTCCTCGGAGTTTAAAGATCAGGCTCGAATGAAAGGTAAACCATAATCTAGAGCTATCCTTACTCTTGGAATAATACTGAAATCAGCCTTGTCCTTACCACAATTTAACCAGCCCCTCGAGATCCTAATAACTCTCTTCTTTATAGACAAAGGAACCCTTTCAACAAAGAAACCAACATATACTGAAAATATGATTTACCTTGATGACCCTTGTTGCAAACAGATTAATGCTTAAGAGCATGCGGGATAAGAAATAGATGAGCTGCGTTTGAAAGAAGCCTGCAAACTCTCCAGGTCTGAACACTTACTATTCAGGCATACCTAAAAACATAAAGGCCATACCCTGTAAGCTATATTAAATAAATGAATGACTTGTCCGGCCAGATATATGGTTTATATCGACACACGAATAACTGTTCAAATTAATCTATTAGAATGTGGTCTTCAAAGCTTTTTTTCTTAATAGGCCTAGGAACAATGGCATATCTCCTTCGGAAACGACTCCAAAAACAACCTCAATCTCAAAGATTTCCACGACATGCCACTATAGACTGCACTAAAAAGCCTCGAGGAGATTCCAAGGTCTCGAGTAAAAAAAGACTTTACCCTACCCTTTTTGATCCTGATCTAAAAAAGAGGGCTCTTGTGAACCAGAGGCTCGTCCGAATATTTGGTTTACACAACGCCTTCACAACGGAAGACAAGGAGCACTACGAGAGGTATATGTCGCTGGTGCGAAAAAAACTGGGGGATTTTTCCGACGCCTGTTGGGTTGCGACATCAAGGCATGCGTCAATATGTAGCGGATATCTGACCAAAAAAACGCAGGAATCCGGAGCAACAAACTTGGCGTCACTTGTACAGTGCCTAACTTTTAGGATTATGCTGAGCAATTTTATCTCGGATACTCTTCACCCTTCCGACTCACAAATCGAATTGCTAGCGGATAGGGTGAATTCCCTTTGGATGGCCTCGAAAGACCCCGAAGTCACGCCAAAGAAAGAAAAAGATAGTAAGAGAGGTTTATTCGCTCTTCTTGATGATATTTTTGGAGAGCCAGTTGTTGAAGGGGAAGAAAATCCTTTAAATTTAATTATCCCCGCGTATGAAAGCATTTGGCGAGTGGTCTTTCGATGCTTCCTCGAAGTTCGTTTTCGGAGCTCCCTGGTTCAAAGGCAGAATTTTGAGGAGAGTTTAGCAAGATTCTTTAAAGCCCCAAATTTTAACACTTTCGGGTATGGTGACCAGAACTTTGCCTCAGTCGCATTTATTGTAAATGAAGCTCTGAGATTGTATCCTCCAACGCGACGGATCTCTAGGCAAACGGAATCTGGTATTGTAAAGGTCGACATTGAGGGAAAACATCGGGATCCGGAAATTTGGGGTGCGGATGCTTCTTGTTTTCGCCCTAATCGGTGGATTGAAATTCAGAACGAAGAAAAATTGGCATTTATCCCATTTGGCGCTGGAAAATTTGAATGTCCAGCGAAAAGGACTGTTGGACCTATGATGATCGGTCTGCTCGTTGCGAGTCTTACGACAGTAATTGGAGATGGGTTTACTTTATGCGAAGAATTAAATGATGGTCCTCTTCCCAATGAACGAGAAGCCCTCAAGGATTTGAAGCTTTTATACCATTAATTTTAGATATTTGAATGTAAAATATTTTGATTATACTAATTTTTGTTTGTTTTGTTTATTATTTTACGTCGTGCCAGTGCGCAGCACGTCTCCCAAGGTCACATGCCGGTTAGCTCAGTCTATAAAAACAACCTGACGTGCCGACGTTCCTAATATCTCGGCATATACTAACTGGGCCCCGGCCCTGCTGCCAGGTGCCCTAAACTAAAAATAAACCATAAGCACTCTTCCTCTAGACCTTCTGTTAACTATACTGCCGACAGAATTAAAATATAAGTCTACATGCTGGAGAGGAGAAACAATCTACCACCGGTATAAACTGAGCTACTAGTAAGTGTGTTACGGCGTGCCGTGGGTTAGATTAAGATTGCCGTTCGACGAGGGTATGGAAATGTCAAGTGGTGAATACGAGAAAGATGAAAGGTCGTCGGAGTACTAAGACTAGGCGGAAGCTGGATTACGAGAGGAATACTGTAATAATATTATAAGATTGTGAAGCTGGAGAACTACATTGTTGTAGCTCAAGCTCCCTTAAGTACAAATAACTATCTAACACAATTCAACTAAGACTATAGTAATTTCTCATCGTAACTCAAACTGTGACCTCAACCATATCAATTCCAGTTGGCGCATTATCTAGTCTCACCATATAAGTGCAAGTGTTGAGGGTGAGCCGAAAAACCTGTTGCGTGAACTCTATCCTCAGGCCTTCTGCTTAGACTCTGGTTCAAGAATGTCTCGCCATGACAAGGTGATTGAGTCCCGCTAAATAGGCAGTATGGAGCGAGTATAAAAGCTAGGAGCGAAAATGGGTCTCTTCGAAAAACTTAGCATTGTGGACCCACTTGCTGAAGGTGATAGCCTCTTCTGGAGAGCTTAGAGCCCAGGGGATTCGAAGGTTAAATTGTCGAGGTCTTGGAGACAGCGGTGGTAGTCTGCAAAGTGATTATACCCAGTAATGGCCTCGCATTCATCTAGATCTGAGTGAGAGCACGTGCGCCTATGTGGTACGTGAATATCAGCGTATTGTCTCTACCGTTCCCTAGACTTTTTTGTCTTACAGCCGCTTTACTTCCCACATCTCTAGATTAGAACTGCTTTCCTATGACCCTCTCCACTAGTCATTTACCTGCATATCTATCAAATGAAGATAATTTAGACTTAGTTTCCTTACAGCTAACATCGTCAAATGCTACAGGTGGTGATTAATTGGACACAAGTCAGCACTGTGAACCTTGTAAGGATATCCATCTATACCTGGCTTTTGAGCAAATATCGGTCTTAATTTTTGAATTTTCACATAACCCACGACAATGTGAGAAAAATAAAACACTTTTAATACAAAAGCTGTAAGTGCTGGGATAAAGTAGCTCTATTCAGTAGCTGGTAAATATTGACGATTATCTGATTTTTAATTTTCATATCTTTAAAATGATAAGATAGACCCAGCATCTTTTAGACTTGACAGGGTAGATGGGCCCTAACAGCGCATCACTACTTACATGACCAGCAATAAAGCAACATAAGACAATAGGAAATAAAAGTAAAATATTTCTCTAAACTACTGTCTAACAGATTACCCTAAAATTAGATATAGTATCTGTTGGAAATGGAGACACGGAGTGTTGTGGACGTATGGGCCCTCCATTTCGTCTAGGTTCCCGACACGATCTCGTGTGTATTTAAGAGGTTGGAGTAGGTAATATGGTAGCGCTTCAGGCTACCTATTGGACATATGAGCGGCTGTATGGCGTGGGCGCAAGGAGGTTATTGGGGGTTTTCTATGCCTAGATGGCGCCACACTCGTTTAAGCTGTGGCTTAGGCTCTGTGTCGCTTACACTTGTACTTGTAGCGCACATCTCCCACACTTTTAGCTTTAATCCGAACATGACGCTCTTTTAGTCAACTTCTACTTTCGTTCCATGAATATTGCGCCCATTACATTGCGCGATATTTCCAACAGTATCAAAATGTTTATGTGGAATAGTTTACAAGCAGCTACGCCAAGCTGATGCATCACGGGACATAATCTAGCCATGATAATGTTACACCTAGCAACTAGACGGATGGTCGACATCCTATGCATAATTCACTTGTCGTTTCATTCTATCGCCAATGATAATGACTTACACCGAAAATTTGGCATTCACGGAATGAAAGTAGACAATTTTAGAACCACGTATGAAACGGAGATTTGAGCAGTTCGTTTAAGCAGTTTTAATTATCAGTCTATGTTTGGAATTGATGGTAGCCAATAGAGTGCTCTCAAATTGTATATAGTGCCTAGATAGACTTCTCATTGAGGAGGGAAACGAACTCAAACTTCTCAGAGGGAGCTCCATCTTAATCTGTTGAGAGTTGTAATTTAATGTGTGTTTTTATAGTACTATTTGAGTCTATGACTATCTAGCACATTGGGCTCCTTTCTGACCCAGGCCAAACCTTTTACAGTGCTCCTTGCCTCTCATGTTCCTTGAAAGATCATTGATACGTTGCCCGTGATGAATAACTATTCAGCTCGGTTTTTACCTGTGGAATTCGGCCACCTTTTCCACGGAACCTTCTACCCAAAAAAAATAAAAATGGTAGTAATGGAAACTGCGTGCGCGGGAAAAAGTCTCCAAAAACCTGCAGCCCCAGCCCGACGAGGCCTAGACACCGGGTCCACATGAGGTGCGCATATTCATCTATATCTCCCTTCTTTGTAACAGCCGAGGCCGACTTGATCCAATCCGCCATCTCCGTATCGGGTGCTGGGTACGCTCCGGAAACCTATTGGATGGCATCTCCTCCACAATCAAGGGTTGGTGATGAGTAGGGCTTCGACCCTACCATCTGATCTGATGATGGTTAGCTCCATGAAAGTGATGATGGGGGGATGTACTTAGGGATCAAGACGATACAGACCGCGAAAGCGATTGGGAATCCTCGTGGAAGTGAGAACTTTTACTACTCAATCTCGGCTCTGCAGACTCTACAGTGAGAGCTGGAGGTTGGCAGGGGACACCACTGACAGGTGTTGGGAATAGTCCCCCGATATAGAGGAATCATCGACAAATCAAATATATCATAGCTTTACCTACTCCAGTAGAGACGTGATATCACCCTGTAATCCCAACAAATATACTTCGTATTTGAATTTGATATCAATTAACCCGATCAGGCACCCTATGGGTCCATGCAGGAGACTATCTTCATTATTTACAAAGGAGGAAACCAATTTGGTGAAAACCCCCGGATCCTGTCTTTTTATGTTCCTATCAATATATTTGGTTTACCTTCAGGAAGTGCAGTGTACACAGTTCAGCCAGTGAAGATTCCGTCCTCTCCCCTTCCAGATCTATTTTTTTTCCGACAATTGCTACCTCGACTTCCCCTGCAAGTCGAAACTGTTTCATCCACCCTTTGCTTAGTATCCACTGTGTGATTCTAGCCACATCCTCTGGGCTGTTCATCATGGCTTCAAAGGACCTATCTTAAGCTCGTCGGAGAAAGTCGCCTCTTCCATTTGCCCACTGCAGACACGCCAACACTATTTGCTTGACGTTTTGCGACGGATATCCACATTGACAGCTTGGCTTAACTACTCCGGGTACTTTTCTTCTGCTCAGGTAAGAATTGAGTCCGAAACGCTCGCTTCTTAGCTGAGTGGCGACACTGCTTTGGAGCCTGTTTAAGTTACGGTGGATTTTTTAGGGTGTTTCTTTGAAGTTCATTTTGGTGCTGTCTGTTTGTTCATCAGTAGATATATTTGCCACTTTCCAATATTGCCTGTATGTTGGGTTGTCAGGTCATGCATATAGATCACATGACACTTTAGCTTGCAAGGGTTGACCCCTACTTGTATTACAGTACACAAGTTTAGAGAGATAGAATAGCAATCAAGATTAACACGCGTCACAGCTCTACCTACTGCAGTAGAGACGTGATATCACCATATAATCCCAACACTGATCAGTGGTTAAATTTACAGTTTGAATGCAGAGCAGCTAGGTTTTAGCAGAAGAGGCAATTCCTTCGGAGGTCAGTTATCTGATCGAGAATCCAAACGATTTGCGCTAAGCGGAAATCTCCAAGAAAAAGTGGAATTTCACGCCCGCTGTAATTTGAGATATTACGAAGTCTTCAGATATACCAGTCGAGCTCGAAAGACCGTGTTTTGAGCCAACAGTCACGTCCATCACGTACGATAATTGCATTCGAATCAAACGACCGCTTTAACCATAACGTTGCAATCATCGCCAAACACAATTTAGACACAACTTATAGATTAGAATACCTTTTGTTGAAGTGTCAGCCTTACGCTGTTTTATGTCACATGACTTTATCCTGTAGCGCTTACATTACTTTCTAGCGTTGTATACTAGCTATTATAATACCTGTAACTTACACATCAATTAACTTATATTACATTCTATATACGTCCTTTATGACCTTTAATCAGTCGGCGAAACTATTTGCCTTGCAAGATGTCTGATCAATTACTTTCCAGCAAAATATCCAGTGAAGCGGCTTCCGTTGAATTACCTGCAGCACTTCATAAGTGTAAGAAATAAATCGATTTAGATAAATGGAATGATGAAGAACTGGATCCAACCGGTGCAGACGTAAAATTAAAGATTTTACAGACATACATAGCCCAAAGATTAGCTTGGTATGCCGAAATTGAGTACACATCTGGGCGGTTATGGGAGTTACACAGGGGTGATTTCAGTAATTGGACATTGGAGATGATAAATAAATGTAAAGTTGATATACTGTATCTCCTTGGGGACTCATTAACCAATAATGTGGCATTCATCCCAAGAGATAGCCGAAAGCTTGCCGTTAGATTACTTGCGGTTGTCAATGAAGAACAGGAACATGAGTGGACCTGACAAGAGATGGAAATCCAGAAAAATAGAGGAGGGGGTTTCTCTTCGAAATACAATCCACCCCTCCCAAGTTCTCTACCAATTTCAGGAGCTGGTCAGATGCGAGAAATTAAGACGGAGTTTAACAGTCGTGAAAATTAGCAACGGCAACCCAAACGCGTAAATCAAACAACCTCGACCATACAAACTCAGTATGTCAGACCCCAGCCCAACCAGAACATTAAGAGTAATCTAGATGCAATTCCATCACAAATAATAAAATCTCGCGATTTTGGAATGGAGCAGGATATAACTTAAGCGCTTTCACAAAATCTTGTTCTCCCACCCCCTCCTGATGGATTTGCGAGGCAACTAACAGACCCGGGAAAACTCTACATGGATAAAGATAATAAGTTTGGTGGCGAACTTTATGATATAATATCTACAAAGTTACTCATATTTTATGATTTCTGTGGCAAGGTTGGATTAAAAGAAGAGCAGTATCACAATGCTTTTTCTTCAATGTTAAAAGATCGTGCTAACCAATTTTACTACGATCATATTGTAAATAAAGGCTACAATTTCAAAAAGATGGTCGAGCTAACAAAGTCCCACTTTGAAACGGATTCGAACAAACAAGAATATTTAACGCTTTTGAGAACGACAACCCTTCGGAAGATTAAATCAAAAAACCCCGACAAAAAGACATCAGAATGTTTCCAGATCATGGTTGATACTCTGCAAAGAATTCAGCGAGGCCTGTGGGAGTCTTGTTGAACTATTCTGGAAATGGGAGTAGAAGATTACAAATCATCGAAGGGTTCCTTCTCTATTCTCTGGCTATCGTGTATCTAAATTACATAGTTTTCCTCATATGAAACCCTACTAGATAACTCGCTGGCAGTAATGCTACCACCGAAACATACCAAACCGTGCTTAGGACAGATAAGATGAGAATATCATCGGAAACATAAATGTAAACCCAATTCAAAGTATGAGTTATGAAAAATCCAAACAAAAAGATATTTTCCTTGATACACATCATGTATCAGCATTAACTTCTCCGACCTGAGTCATGTTATAAGTAAATTCGGGTAAGCCTAGAATGACCATAGCTCAACAGGTCTTATCAGATTGACCAAAATATTAGAGACCAAGTCCTCAACGGATGTCAGGGTATAAAAGAGTGTGAGATTGCTTTATACAACCCCGATAAAACTTTCGAAGGTGTTATCTCACAGATCAGAAACGCAATTCATACTCGAGAACAGTAGTCTCGAAATTATATCCAATTTTCTGCCAACTCTGATTATCGAGAATTTTATGATTTGGATCAGAATTATACCGAAAGAAAAATATTGGTAGAAATAGACTCAAAAACAAAAGCGGAAGTACAATGTATAACTCAAAAGGTGGAACCAGAGGAAATTTATCGGAAAGTGGCCAAAACCGTCGCTCATTTTACAATAAGGCCAGCACTAATACACATCAAAAGAAGTGTTATATTTATGGAAAGCCCGGTTGTTGGTCAACGAGACACTCGCTTAATGAAAGAAAGCTAGGATTTTCGAGGTTTCAAAACCAAACAAATATTCACGGAAAACCAGGCACCGCGACATAATTTTACGCTTTTCTAGCTGAATGGGAAGAAGTCGAAGGCTTCTCAAGTAATAAAGACGAAGAAATTAGCCAGTTTCTAGAAGTTTGGGAGCCAGAAGAAGATCTCGACGATCTTGTGGGTCTTAAACCGCACGACAGTTATCTTACTGAGTTTGGCCCTGTTGATCCGTTCAAAACAATCGATCTCCTCAATAATCAATCGACAATGCATGCAGTGTCTAAAAAGGATATCTTCAAATCTAATCAGCAAGACAGTTCAATGCAAAAATCTTCAACTCAAGTAAGTTAAACTTGGGAAGTGGAAAATTCGATCATTTCAAGGTATTCTGATGCTGAATTTCATAGTATAATGCCTGATACTGGAGCTGCAGGCGTTTCAACGGCAGGTTATCCACAAGTAATAGCTCTTCAAAGAATAACCCCATCTATACAAATTGATAAATCCCCATCTGGAGAGCATATGATTCGATTCGGCAAAGGTGATGCAAAACCAATGGGTACAATCGGAGTAGAAACACCTCTAGGCAACATAAACTTTCATGTGATACCTTTAAACACCCCATTTCTTCTATGCATTCAGGATATGAAGCGTCTAATTGTTAAACTTGATATTTATGGAACCTATTAATTCAAGGAAACAATGTTATCCCTGTTGTAATGAAGTTTGGACATCCGTGGATGCTTCTCCATCAGGAACAGAGTATAGCATATTGCCACTTAACGGAGCCTGAATTGCGTCAGTTACACAGAAGATTTGGGCACCCGTCTGTTAAAAGATTGGCTGAAGTTCTACGCCGGGCGGGTCATGATGTTGAAAATAAGGTGGTTGAAAAACTGACCCAATATTGTCGGCAATGTCAACTTCATGGAAAAGCTCCTGGGAGATTTAAATTCAAATTATCCAAACAGTATAATTTTAATCATTCTGTGATTGTAGATATTCTGAATTTGGACGGAAGAATTACCCTTCATGCGATTGATGAAGCTACTGCCTATCAAGCAGTAAGATTTCTCCCTGATATGAGTGCGAAAAGTGTTTGGAATGCTTTTAGAGCTTGTTGGATCGACGTATACTTAGGCCTACCTGACTTTGTTGCTCACGACGCCGGTACTAATTTAGCCTCGAAAGAATTCCACCAAAATGCCAAATCTATGGGAATTCAAGTTCACGAAGCACCTGTAGAGGCTCATCATAGCATTGGAAAGATTGAAAGATATCATGCCCCGCTTCGGAAAGCATATCATATCATTTTTATTGAACTCAAAGATCAGGGAGTGCCTGCGGAAGTAAAACTTCAAATGGCATTTAAGGCCCTAAATGATTCAATGGGTCCCCATGGATTTTTCCAACTCTACTAGTTTACGGAGCCTACCCACGCATGAAAATAGACTCTGCACCATCATCATCTGCCGAGGCAAGGGCTAAAGCAGTAAAAATGGTTATGCAAGAGATTGAAAAGATTCGCGCAAAACGAAGCATAGATAATGCATTGGCAACTCGAAGTGGTCCAAGTACATTAGCAGTTTTTAATCTACCCCTACAATCCGAAGTAATTGTATGGAGGGAGAATAAAGGGTGGAAGGGACTCTACAAGTTTGTGGCAATAGATATTGACCATCAAGAATGCGTCATTAAAATGCCTTATGGGCTTACTAAGTTCAGAGCTACTGCTGTAAGACCATTCCTGAGGTATAAAGAAGAGGCCCTCAATGATTTGACCCATAATGAAGAGGTCTGTTCAGGTTCCGATTCTGATTCAGATGTATCAAATGCAAATGACAAGGATTATGATTTCCAAAATGATCAAGATCATCCAAAAAGGAGAAATAGGCGACGGCCAAAAGGCTCAAAGAATCGTCCAAAGAAAGTTTCAGAAACATTATTTGATGAACTAAGCGAGGGAGATTGCATAACTTCTTCTAATTTTGAAAATGAAGCTTTTCTTTCCGCTAAAGAGGAAGCAGATCTCGAGCTCTCCCACAAACTACGTGAAGAAGGAGTCATAACTGTTGTAATTAAGGGAGTAACATGACTGCATTACAATAAACTGTTCACATTAGAATAATGTGCACATGCGCCATGGGATATGATTGACCTAAATCATCACTCATTGGTATGACATAGTATTTCCCAATAGATTCCTAATGGTATCTATTGGCGCTAGGATCTCTCACATCCTTCCTTTCTCGGTTAGACAAGGACAGATGTTGGAACATCCACTAGTGTGCAGAACCCCCTTATTCGTGTATATAGAAGAAGGTCCTGTCACGTAGATAACTTAAGCAACTTATACAATAGGAAATTAAAACAATCTCCATATTATTTATACACTTGAGAATACTAGGGAATATCCTCAAGTTCGTCCATTGATCCAAGTTCTAAGAGTATAACTCACGAACTTTACTTCTCTTAAAGCCATAGCTACCTCCTTCCATACCTTCATCCTAACGGTAAGTCATTCCAGCTCAGCATAGCCTTTCAATAATAACTACTCCTGGAAAACCGTTCGAAGCAGCTGACCGGGCAGAATTTGACAGTCTTATTAAAAATGGTGTTAAGCTATGAAAACACAGTAGAGCTAAGCACGGTGACACCATATTATTAAACTCTCGATTCGTCCGTGAGGTAAAAGGGAAAGGCACGAATTCCCCATATGAAAAAACAAGAATGGTAATTACGGCGTGGGGAGATATAGACAAGAACGAAATACTCACTCAATCACTTACATTACAAAGAGCTAGCCAATGTCTAATGACAGCAATTGCAACCTCTCTTTTTATGCTCAATAATAGAAAATTTGGAATTTGGTTGCGAGATATAAGCCAGGCCTATGTGAGAGGTTTAAAGAATTCAGAAGTACTTGAAAGATGTTAACTCAATAGGAATTGATAATTTTTCCTTGGGAAAGCTAATTCGCTTACGATGGCTTCTGTCCTTTATGTCCTCTTCAGCGTCGCGTTTAAGCTCCCCTCCTAGCCTACCTGAGAATACTCCATTCTCCCCGGCTACTCTCTTTCCTGTGACATCCTCCCCCCCTTAGTACGTACTCCCTTGGGTCCTTCCTTATGCGCAACCTTGCAATCATCCTTATGCAACATTGAGACTCGTTCTTGTGCGCAACCTTGCATTCTTCCCTATGAGGTTCCGAGCGCGCGTTGTATACTTAGTATACAATGGGTGTGGGTGTAAGATTGGGGTGATATCACGTGGTGTCTCGTGGCTCCTAACTACAACGGATCTTGTGTAGAGCTTGAGACTAATACGTGACTTCTATATCCTTCAAGTGTCGGATGTCTATGTGTCTATATAAATTGATTACTCCTTACTCCTCAACGCTAGTAGATCTACTGCTGTGGTCGCGGGCTGTCACCGCGGGCTCTGACAGTGCGATTTGCTGCGCGTG